CGACATCGCCAAGAGAATCTATCGGAACATTCTAGCCTTGACACTAATGACATCCGACGGTTGCAAGACGAACAGTCTACTGAGTTCCGTATTATTCTGTGCATAGCGAGCCATTGCAACCACTGTAGTTTATCGTCCATTATTCTATATAAATCATCAGGTCTGACATCTACAGCTGCCAGTTGATCAACTTGTAGAATATTATTGCTTATCTGTTTTGGAGCCGATGGTCTGCCTGCCATAATTAAAAGTAGCTGCACAAATTATCAAAGAAATATTTTCCACTTTATTCGCAACTTTTGCCGATAAGCAATTAATTATCTACGCAAGTGCACAAATTCGCAAAGAGCTGTGACGAGGTGCATTCGGTGAGTCCAGAATTCCTTCTAAACGCAACAACAACAAAAGTACACAAGTCCAACAGAAACCTTTACAAAGTGAAACAATGAGGTGACTGAACAGCAAACCCAAGCGATCTTCCTAGCGGCGATCAAAGTGTCTGACCAACCAACAATTTATCTCAGTGGAATTTAACGTTAGCTTAACAGCTGGACCAGGGAACGCATCCTACGTTGAAAAATTATGCAATCTTCCAGTCGAACGGACAAAAGACCCGAAACTTGCGGACGGGCAGGTGGCTAATTACCGAGGGTTAGAGTTGAGACGTAACGGGCATTCTCAGACCAGTCGACAACTTTGATGTCCAGAGTTTAAACAGGATAGCGGGTCCAGTTGTCTAAGCAAGCGAATTTCGCACATTAATGTGATACACGTAATCTACCTAGTGATGTCTAGTGATGTTACAACATACTCGTAATCACAAGTGCGGCTGAGAGAATGTTGTAAAAGGCAACTAATTAGGACTGCTGAAATCAGATGTGTTGGGGCGAAAGGCGCAGATATCGCAACCTAGCACGAAAGGCGCAGATATAGCAGCGTATTTGTAAACCACAATACACTATGCCAACCGCCATTTTCAAGGGCGAAAAAAAAAAAAAAAAGGAGATTAGCTGCCCGTGACATGACCATTGAGCATTTCGCCGCCGCTATCGCAGCCTAGCTGTTAACTACAAGACCGAGAGAAAGGCGCAATCGCAGCCTAGTTGTACCACACAACACAACGTGCAAACCACCCTTTTAACTGCTTATCAACTGTTGTAACTACAAAACAACTTCTAAACCACCCTTTTAAAAGTGAAAAAAATTTGCCGTCGCTATCGCAACCTAGCTGTTAACCACAAGACCGAGTAAAGGCGCAGATATCGCAGCCTAGTTGTTAACACAACACAACATGCAATACTACAAAACAACGTCTAAACCACCCTTTTAAAAGTAAAAAAAAAATTGCCAGCCGCCGCTATCGCAACCTAGCTGTTAACCACAAGACCGAGTAAAAGGCGCTGATATCGCACCCTTTTGAAGAAAAAAATAGAAAAATATTTTTTTTTCTTTGGCCCGCCGGAGAGCTATCGCAGCCTAGCTGTTAACTACAAGACCGAGCGAAAGGCGCAATCGCAGCCTATATCGCAGCCTAGTTGTAACCACAACACAACGTGCAAACCACCCATTTTAACTGCTTATCAACTGTTGTAACCTACAAACACAACTTCTAAACCACCCTTTTAAAAAGTGAAAAAAAAATTTGCCGTCGCTATCGCAACCTAGCTGTTAACCACAAGACCGAGTAAAGGCGCTGATATCGCACCCTTTTGAAGAAAAAAAATAGAAAAATATTTTTTTTTCTTTGGCCCGCCGGAGAGCTATCGCAGCCTAGCTGTTAACTACAAGACCGAGCGAAAGGCGCAATCGCAGCCTATATCGCAGCCTAGTTGTAACCACAACACAACGTGCAAACCACCCATTTTAACTGCTTATCAACTGTTGTAACTACAAACAACTTCTAAACCACCCTTTTAAAAGTGAAAAAAAATTTGCCGTCGCTATCGCAACCTAGCTGTTAACCACAAGACCGAGTAAAGGCGCAGATATCGCAGCCTAGTTGTTAACCACAACACAACGTGCAATACTACAAAACAACGTCTAAACCACCCTTTTAAAAGCAAAGAAAATTTGCCGCCGCTATCGCAACCTAGCTGTTAACCACAAGACCGAGTAAAGGCGCAGATATCGCAATCTTTTGAAGAAAACAATAGAAAAATATTTTTCTTTTCTTTTGGCCCGCCGGAGAATCGAACCCCGATCAACCTGATCACCGGTGTAACAAGCAGACTGCATATCAACTGTACTAGCGAACACTCGGTAATTTCGTTCAAACGTACTTATATAATAAAAGAAGGCATTTCCTGTTCCATATTTTTAACAACATGACCTCTTAGGTCCCTAACAACGACCTCTTGAGGCCCTGAATGGGATTTTTTGTCTTTGAATAATATGGGGCCGGTATTCGGAAGAGTGCCGAAAGTTGTAAGTGGTCAAACATTAGGTGATTACACACTGAAGCTGGAGTGCGAAGTTGTTGGCTTTCACATACATGTAATAAAATATCACGTGGAATGGTCAGTCCCTCTCTCTGCCCTTGTCCTTCGCAGACAAGCCCCAGAAAATTGTCATGAACAAAAACACAATGAGGGTCAGAGACAAGTCAGACAAACATCGACGCATCTGAAGATGCCATCTCTGTACACATAACAACTAAAACTGCTCTAACAGTTATGTTATATTTTAACAACGCGAAGAATACTTAAGTAAAGTGTTTTATACAATTGTTAAGTAGAAGAAATTAATTTACCAGGCATAATGAAGTGATCAGAAACCCCCTAAAAAATATGAGCAGATGAGATTTTGCACCTTTCTTGCACAGGCCGTCAGCCATTGGCTGTAGATGTGGGACACAGTTGCAGCAGTAATAAATGCATTCTAAGTGAGCAATGACGACATTATGTAGCCGATGTTGGCAGCACCTTCGAAATAAATAAAATACCATTTTTCCCTCACTAGCGTCTTTTGGGCATATGGTGCTAGACCTCTAACGTTATATATCCATTGGCAGTGTATGGGTGATAAGGTAAAAATCAAGCTGGCCGCCTTTACTTCCACCGGCATTTCACGGTACCCATTTGAAGCAAAGGATTGTTGATAATAGCAGCTTTCCGAATTTCCACGTGATACTGTAATATTGTTGGCGTTTGTGGCTTAGGCGTTGCGAACGAGCATTGTAATACCGGGAGACCGGGTTCGATCCCAGCTGCGGGCCTTGCGTTGGTTTCGACAGTGGTATCGAGAAGCCGACCGTCCAGTAGGAAAGGCAAATGACTAGAGGTAAATTTCAAACAAAATGATGGGATTGGTTCTGCAACGTCATGTAAAGGATACACGGCTAACTTAACTGTTATATTGTGCTAGAGGCAGTCGCGAGAATTGGAGCCTATGGCGGTGGCGAGTGTGACTAAAGAGACCCGACCGCGTTGAGAAACGTATTCCACAATTTGAGTATGAGATTTTAGTAGCGTTTTCGTCATCACAAGTATTTAGGTTGTTTCTTATCTCAGTCAACACAATGAATACAAGTGGTAGAAGTTTTAATACTATGTTTTATCAGATCAACTGGAATTATAGTACAGAAGCAGAATATGTTACAGAATCGGATCTTAAGTTGTGCATTGGTTCACACTTGCATTCATACTGTCAAAATGTGGGATGCAATTTTTCGTTATTTGAAGCCTCGCCCTGGCTTTTGCCAGGGGCCCTAAATAGAGCCGGGCCATAAATATGGTCCAACGGCTGAAAAGGGTTTCTGTGACCTCTCCACTTGTGATCCTCATCTGCACGGTGGCACTTTGTGTCACCGGGTGTTTTATCGCTTTGTGTGATGTTCTGGTGGGTTACAACTTACATACATACATTCTTTACACACAAAATTTCTTATAATCATCATGAAGCAACAAAATTTTGTTATTACATGAACTTTTAAAGTCCCAATTAGCGCATCATACGTTCATAGGTTCCTACCCAGAGACCCAATGAACGCAAGATGTGTCAATTTTTAGGTCTCTCTTTACTGCCCCTTGGGCCTGTGGTGCTAAATCCTCTAGGACTCACAGAGTTAATACTTTACAGAGGGCTTGCAATATTTTCTTTAATACCGTTCTATAAGTGTAATCTGTTCGATATCATCGATGGAATCCAGTCAAAAAAGCTTTGACCGCCAGGCCTCTCTTTAACAATTTTCGTCTGTTCCTTTATTTTCTTTTTCTTAAGCCATGTATTTCCAATTGCAGTGCCTCCACGAGGATGCTCTATACGTTTATCCTTCAGATGTGCACAGTATATCCCCACCTTCTTCATTCTCCTATTCCGTTTTACACAAGAGATTGTGAACACAGAATGTGGATCAGATCAGAAACAGTTTCCAGTGGAATTCTAAGTACAATTAACATTCAGTTCATCAACAAATATGGTGGATTTCGTTTGTACAAACTATACAGTGAAAGAAACACACATTGTATGGAACATGGCACCATTACAGCTAAAGCAAATTTGAAATAGAAAAATATATAAAATATAAATAAATAATACTACAGTACAGTATCAGAATATTATGCACATTTTTGTTTAGGGCAAACACACAGCAGAAAAGATATTTTGTGTTAGTGATCAACTGTCTAAATTAAATAAGAACTATCAACCCTTCGGCAGCTATCCATTGACCCTTTGAATGCGTCACACTTACAGGCCAATGGGCTAACACTAATGCAAATGCAGGCAGGCAAGGTACTTGAAAACTTGTACCGGCTGTTGTACACAAAATAAATATCACATTATACAGACGATCTGTATCAAAATATAAATATTTCTATCTGAACTTTGAATTATACAATCACAAGAGGAAATGTCAATCTGGCAACATAAGTAATCCGGCTGCCAGGTATAGACACATCGTTTTGAAGCTTCATCGTAAGTCAAGTGTTTTATGTAATCCAAAAGGAAACACAGAAGGAAAATTTAGAATAAAAATAATAAATATAAAGTTGTTACCGCTATCAAGAATCTCCGATCGCTTTTAGAAAATCGTCTGGTATAGATGCTCCGATATTCATGAATAACCCTTTGAGAACATTCAGCTCTTTCGATAGCATGTCAACTTTTTTCTGCAGTTGTTCATTTTGATCTACCAAAGCCTGGACTCGAACCTCTGTTTCTTTCTGCTTTTCTTTAGCTTTAGCGCGGCTTTTTCTGACAGCAACATTGTTACGTGCTCGTTTGTCGACGTATTCTTGTGTTCCTTTCTCTGCCATGCGTCGTTTTGATTTCGTTGAGTATGGAGCAGAGGCATCGTGTGGTCGACGACCACGTACACAAGAAGGACCGGGTGTGCCTGGACTAGATACTGAATACACAGTTGAAGATGGTGACGGAAGCGATGTCGTTGGTGATGTTACAAACGGAAAAGCAACAGCGTCTGATGGTCCCGGTTGCACTGCTTTTTGACAAGATGCGTGTGCGAACTCTTCATGCTTCAAACCGTAGTTAGAAGTTTCCGGTGCTGTGAAGAATTGTTCTTTGCTTACGTTGCTACAGCTGGGCCAGACAAAGTTATGACTGGGAGCTTCGGCGTCTGGCGATGTGAGCTGACAGAACTCTGGGATGTGATGAGGGGTAGCACAGCTGTCGTCACTGTAGTAACTCGTGACATCCGATTGCTCCGGACTGTGTCCATGATCGAGGAAGTTCACAACAGGGGGTGGCAGCACTAACCCTTCACCAGGGTACTTCTCCTGATGAACAACTGCTGTTGCGTCCAGCATGACTTGCGGCAACGACTGTTGTTCGGAGTAATCTGAGGAAATGTTATGGTACATGTTGATTTTATGTTGGATAATAGCTGGCGTTAAATATTCATTGAAGTCTAACGAACGATCGTGCACGAGATCAAATAAATCAAGCGGAGAACACCCCACCGAGTCCACACACAATTTCTTAGAAGCCAGCTCACCTTTGTTACTGCCGAAAAATGTCTGCAAGTCGAACTCGGACAGTTGAAGTGAATCCATCAATTCACCAATGCTTGGACATTTCTGTCCGTGAGTGTTCAAATCTTCAAAAGAAGATAGGAATGCTGATGCGATCGGCTCTATGTTGGCGGTTGAAGTCAGCTTGTGTGGAAACAATAATAATAATACAACTCTTGATTTGTTTACACAACAATACTATTAATCAATTTAGCAAGTGTAAAAGAACTGGTCACAGTATTTCGAATGTAAAACGGCACATTAGTTCTGATATTTTGCTGAGCTCCTGCTGTCTTGGCTGTGGAAGCTCACTCGGGTTTCCAAAGGCTGCTCTGAATATTTATACCAGAGACAAGGGTAACCTACGTGACGTAGAATCTAACATATTCTTACGCCATAATTATTTTCTATAATTCTAAATTTAACTTTCTAAATACTGTAATAAATATAGGTAGAAAATTTAATTTCACACTTCTTATGTACTAGTTTTCATTTATTAAAATCTGCATTAGTAAGTGCATAAAAAAAAACCAATTAAGTTATATATTCCTATGGAATTAATTTTCCTGCGGAAGAATAGAAAATACTAGCAGTAACTTTACAGTTAAAAATAATTAAAGACGTCATTTATTCTGACATTTTCATTGGTTTGTTGTCTTATGACGCACGAAACGACCTTGACAGAGGAGGGGAACCTCTCTAAAAATAACCTGATCGATATTAGATGGCATAGATAATGCAGACGGTGCATGAACTACTGAGCATGAGTACATCCCCGCTAAATTTAGACCATTCGAACATTACAATTTTATTAGCTTCAATACACATTTTTAACATAGTAAACCTACATTTTATATTTTCAATTGCAATGGTTGTGTTGTTTAATTTATTGTGTTGGTAGATTACAAGAAATGTATTTATTTGTTGCAGAGCTACGGACAGAATGATGCGGGCAGAATGTCAGTATTTGCAAGGATTTGATTGGAGGAGCCCGATGGTTGCATCAGGTTCTCTTTCTATTCCTGAACTAGCTACAAGGTGGAGGACTTTCAAACCAGCGTCTTCAAACTACTTTATTTCGTTATTTTACTTGTTGATCCGACGAGATATATACCCTGAATACTTGATATTGTTGGTAAGTATCGGGGGGGTTGAAAAATTTGATAGTTTAAGTCCTGGAAACGGCGAAATAAAGAGAGGTATAGGGAATTGTCAGTCAGCTGTTCCTGCTTTTGTAGCCATGATGGTTGCGCAATAGTGCCAGACAGGGAAGGAGAATTATATATTACAATTAAATGTTCGTCGAGTCAAACCTGTTGTGTCTATGTCTATACTGTATCATGACAGGTGATGTACATCCTTTACTTGAGCTGGTACTGGGCAGCTGCAAAAGATTCTGAAGTAAATTGATATCCATACTATATCGTCTGATGACTGATGTTGAGTCATTTATATGTATTTTCAACAGACAGCTTGAACTTGATTTGCAAGGAAGTAAATTGCAATTTCAAAACTTGATTATAGCAACTTCAGCAGAAGATTATATTCACAGAAAAAGAATAAAATGGTTCGGCCGTCTAGTGATAATGATAATGCAGCCAAACCAAACTGCATTTCATTTGAGGTTGTTTTTACAGCAGAACATCTGGGAGGAAGGCGAGTTGAAGACCAAGGAAGAGATGGATAAATGGTGTAGCTGAAACCTGTAAAAAGATGAACAAATCAATCAGCCAAGCCACCCGAGAAGTCCAAGACAAAGGTAAAAAAAAAAACTGGACTACAACCTGTTAACAGTGAGATGAGAAGCACTGAAGATTAGTGTCAAATTATGATGTAGAACAAGAAACTCTAGGCAGTATGATAACCAAGAGAAGATGGAAATGGCTTGGCCATGTTATGAGAATGTGATCCGTGATGTAGATCCATTGTTCAAACCTCAAACCTCATTTCCTTTCACCCCGGCATGACCTGGGATGTACAGCCAAGATAAGTTTCTTGTGGCAGGACTTTGGGATACTGTCAACCCATTCAAGTTGGAGTTTGCCAGTTTGGATCTTCCTAAACAGGCTCATTGAGTCAGTGTGTGAGCTGCTGTCTGTTCTGCTGGCCATGTAAATGCACCTGTGACAGCTGTTATCTGCATCAGGGTAGAAGTAGTTGAACTAAATACCTGACTTTCTTCTTTTACTGCCTTCCTATTCACCTGTACTGTACATGCTCACCCAGACTGCACTCCACAGATCAGTGAGTTATATATATAGTTAATGACTTCACCTAGTCGAGTTAGAGGTTTTGAACAATGAATCAACATCATGGCACACAGGTAGTAACACATAAGCACTGCGTTCTTCTTCTAACTCAAGTCTGAGTCCAAAGAAGCTCAGCACAATGCACGAACTTTGTAACACTGGCGAGGATCCTGAAATACTTTAAGTAGATTTTTAAACTCAAAATTTTGCTCAGGCAGTGCCGTTAGGCTATTCTTTTTGATTTCCGATTGCCAAGGGATTTTTTTTACATGCGCAACAACGCACAGGGGTGTCCGATTTCACTTCCCAGAGACCAAGGAGAATTACTAGAAGTCTTAAGCCCATGTGAAAAAATCCCAGCCCTTACCAGGAATTGAACTCGGAACCTCTAGCACTCGAGGCAAACATCATGCCACAAGACCACGCAGCCCCTTACCTGGCCGAGTGTGTTTGTGGATGAGGGCCCTTATCTCAGCTTCAGTGCCTGTTTGGTTCCATTTTGTACAATACCTGCCCAGGGAATTTATTCCATGAATGTGATTTTGAATTCTTTCTGGTGTTTCTATCTGTACAACACCCAGCCTGACATGTTCCACTTGGCATATGTGGCTGATGGTGTCTTCTGCTTGTGCCATCCTCGACTTTCCCCTCTTTAGGTGCTTACCAGTGAGCAACTGTGCAGAAAGTGTTGTACATGGCCAGCTCTAGATATAAGCCCATACAGCTCAAACGGGAATTCCCGTTTTTGTGAGGCCGCCTTGGCCAGTCGGTTATAACAATTGTTATTGAGTCGATTTATTCACAAATTGAACTAAAGTATTAATTTGCAACATGTGTTATTGAAGGAATTATCATTTTGAAGAGATATTTTTTAATAGCCTATTTATTTATCTTCTAAACAATAATTTGTTCAATAACACGTGTTGCAAATTAATTAAACTGTGGTTCAGTCTGTGTATAATTCTACAGAAGCTGCTGGATTAGAGCAAAGTTAATATGACAAGCTAAAGGAAGTAGGAGATTAAACACAACTCTAAGAAAGAGACAGATTTGAAAATTGATCATGTGATGGATGGGAAAAGAGGGTACTTTTCATATAGCTCAACCCAAACATAGGGAGCCCTAGGAAAGTCCAGTATTATAGGGGTGTTAGGGTTAGTCAGTGTTCATTTGAAACTGTAAAACCCCTATAATATTAGACTTTATGTACTCTGCAAAATACTTTCATCTTTCGGGACAGGATGTTTCTTAGACAAGTCTCCTTGATGTTCAGGTCACGTAAGCTGTCGATGTTTATGTCTTAAATTCTTTCAGAAATGAGGTGACCATATATTAAGCTGAAAACAGGACATCCTAAGCAAGTCAGTTTGACCCTACCCTTACCCCAAAAATATTATAGAATTTATTATTAATATAAGTATCTCAAACTATTAACTAAAAGTTCTACAAATATAACTATAAATGTATGTTCTACAAATATAACTATAAATGTATGTTCTACAAATATAACTATAAATGTATGTTCTTTGCATTCACCAGCTATAAACTCAGATGGAAAATTCTGGTTGTTCGTCCACCTCTAAACTTTAGTTCCAGAACTTGAGTGTTGCATGCACATCCGTTTTACAAATCTGACTTATATTGTGCAAATTTCTGCTTCCTCGCCTCTCAGGCAGGTGCACTCTGACTTCGAAGGAAACTCCCAATTAGTCAACTCTTACGACATACTTGTTAGGAATGCAGTGGGCCTTTTCTAGTTTTCATCACAATGAGGCCCCGGAACCCACCCGGGGAGTGTGTATGTTCTATTCTTGAGCTTATTCTCAGACTGTTGTTTTTGCTGGGGGTCACCACAACACAAGGAACTGTATTAAAGGGTCCCGGCTTTAGGAAGGTTGACAAATATTGTCATATGGGGGGAAATATTTGTTGTTATTAAAAAAATGTTTGTACAATTTGAACTTCATTAACCTTGCTACTGACCTGTGATTTTATGATATACCCACAGAACACAAGATGCCACCCAAGAAGTCGTATGAATCGTACGAGTCCGACTCGGAAGATTCTCACTCTCAAAGGCAAAAAGGCGTAAAGAAGCAAAAGCTAGACAAAAACAGCGACGAGTACAAGAAAAGACGACAAAGAAACAATGTAGCCGTGCGTAAAAGTCGCGAGGCCAGCAGGCAAAAAGCAAAGGATACGATGGAGAAAGTATCAAAGTTAAGAGAGGAAAACAAAGCGCTGGAACAAAAAGTGACAATTTTAAATAAAGAACTTGGAGTTTTACGAGATCTGTTCCTATCACACGCTTCAGCAACAGCTGTGCCCCAAGCCACGACCAAAACTGTCAAAGAAGAGGTCAGTGTGGAGGCAGAAGTTGACCTTAAAGACAGCACTTTTCTCTTCGTTCCTGGGGATTTGGCATAATGTGCCGGCAGTTTCGGAAATCTGATGGATTTGTACCCCATTGCTAGTGAACTGTTTTGAAGCATGACCCATTCCAGAGACATGCAGCGCTGTTTGATCTGACAGGTGACCAAGTTGGTGCCGGTACTGTGGTAGTGTGGTTCAGACTTTTGGTGTGCCAGGAGCTTTCATGTTGTTCCTGAAGCTGGGGATGGGCGTTAATGTTTGACGTGATTTGTCTTGCTGGTATGCTGCTCTGTATGGACGTATGACGTGATTTGTCTTACTGGTATGCTGCTCTGTATGGACGTATGGCGTGATTTGTCTTACTGGTATGCTGCTCTGTATGGACATGTGACGTGATTTGTCTTACTGGTATGCTGCTCTGTATGGACATGTGACGTGATTTGTCTTACTGGTATGCTGCTCTGTATGGACATGTGACGTGATTTGTCTTACTGGTATGCTGCTCTGTATGGACATGTGACGTGATTTGTCTTACTGGTATGCTGCTCTGTATGGACATGTGACGTGATTTGTCTTACTGGTATGCTGCTCTGTATGGACATATGACGTGATTTGTCTTACTGGTATGCTGCTCTGAATGGACATACCATTTTTCCTGTGTATATGAGGACATCTTCTTCATCACATTCATTGGCTGTAAGCTCTGGCAGAAAGTTCTGGCTGTTTGTCCACCTCCAAACTTTATCTTGTTCCAAAACCTGAGAAGTATTGCGTGCACATCTTATGACATGCTTGTCGGGGAGGCAGTGGATCTATTCTTGTTTCCCCCACTATAGGGCCGCGGAACGCACAAGAGGATGGTCATTTTAAACACCAAAACCTGATCATTGATGTCAAATATCGACCTGCCCTCATAAAAATACAAAATAGAAGTAGAGATCATATGATTCTGTAGTTATTGAGGCTGTAAGTACCAGTCTGTGAGAGCAGACCAGCACCTCCTGAGGGCTACAGTGTGTTTCTGGGAGATAGATTTCAAGTTGAGTTTAGGAAAACCTTATTCCCATTTTTCTCCTTCTGCATTTCCCACTAAAAAGTGGTGGTTGGTACATTGTGTTGTGGTTTACAGCAAGACTGTAGTATATCTACGCCCTTTTGGCCCAACATATCTGATTTCAGCAGTACTTTAATTTGTCACTTATTATGATGTCTTCTTCTTCTTCTTCGCGTTCACCAGATGGGCAGAAAGTTCTGGTTGTTCATTCACTTCTGGAATGCAGTCCTGTTCCAAAACCTGAGTGTTGCGTGGGGCTCATTTGTATGCAGATTGTTGGTTCCATGCCTCTCAGACAGATGCACTCTGACTTCAAAGGAAGCTCCAAGCTAGTCGACTCTTACGACATGCTTTTGGGTAGGCAGTGGTTCTATTCATGTTTTCCCCACAATAGGGCCCCGGAACCCACACGGGGATTATTATGATGTGATTATTAGAGGATAAGTAAAGGACCCTTTTACCCGCTTTTAGATGTATTTGGGCGTGTAGGCCTTGACCTATATTTCATAGACCAATCGGCATTTGGTGTGTGATGTAGTCAGCATCATTCTGGCCGCCTTCTCATGACTACCCATTTAGGGTGAACTTAGTTGAATAGCCCTGTTATATGTTATATATTACATATGTTTGCCATACTGTGTAATGTAGCCCTGTGTTGTTGTTTTTAAATTAGTGTGGTCATTTTATTCACTAGACTTTAGCCGGGCGGTTAACAGATAGATGTTTCATACTGCGCTAATCCCTTTGTGGTTTAGGGCTTTTTTTTGTCCTTTGAAGTTGGAGTGCCTGAGAGGCAAGGAACTAACAGTCTGCATCAAACAAGCCAGATCTGTAAAACAGATGTGCACACAAGGCTTGGGTTCTGAACCAAGACCAAAGTCCAGAAGTGGACAAACAACCAGAACTTTGCATCAGAGTTTACAGCCAGTGAACGCTAAGAAGAAACACTTGGTCTAACAGACGTTAAACAATGAGGAGGGTCTTATGCTCATTAAACAATGAGAGGTTTTCTATACTGGATGTGTGGGAGACATTGAAAAATGAGAGGTTTTATATATTAGATATGTGGGAGACATTAAACAATAAAGAGATTTCATATATTGGATGTGTGGGAGACAGTAAACAATCAGAGGTTTCATATACTGGATATGTGGGAGACAATGAACAATGAGAGGTTTCATATATTGGATGTGTAGGAGACATTGAACATTGAGAGGTTTCATATACTGGATATGTGGGAGACATTGAACAATGAGAGGTTTGATGAAATGGATATGTGGAAGACGTTGAACAGTTATATTGTTTCATGTACCTGATGTGTGAGGGGATTAAACAGATGTTTCATTTACTGGATGTGTGAGAGACAGTAAATAATTAGGTGTTTTATACACTGGATGTGTGGGGGACAGTAAATAATTAGGTGTTTTATACACTGGATGTGTGGGGGACAGTAAACAATTAGGATATTTCCTAGACTAAACATTTGGGATACATTAAATAATAAGATGAAACATACTGGATGTGTCAGAGATTTGGAACAACAATTACTTATTTCATGTTTTGGCCGTATTGGAGACTTTAAATAATTAGATCTGACATGAACTTGATGTGTAGCGGATAGTAAAAAAATAGATATTTTGGTCCTGTTCACATTTCTGAGCCCATTTACACACTAGTTAAACTTTCATTCACAATTTCTCAGATTTGTCTATGTCGGAGGGGTGTTGTCTTCCCTCCAGTTACATCAGCCCTGATGTCGCGTGTTGTATACTACACAACGACAAAGCTTTCAATGACCCCAGAACATGTAGAACTGGCCTTAACCCAAACCCCCCTTCCCACAGCCTCAGCCTCACGATAGGTCACACGAGAGATTCTTTTCAAAGAAAGCAGTACAACATGATACCCCTCTGACCTAGATCAGACTGAGGAAATGTGTAGATAGGCCGGGAAGCATCAACAGGTCCCATATTTGATATCATCATCATCATTTTCCTGATAGGCCATTATATTTCACACAGAGCTTGCAAACTATTCCTCCATTCCACTCTATTCTGTTCAATCTATTCATTTGTTCCGCTCTATTCTGTGCAATCAGTTCAATCTATTCATTTTTCCCGCTCTAATCTGTGCAGTCAGTTCGATCTATTCACTTATTCCACTCTATTCTATGCAGTCAGTTCGATCTATTAATTTATCCCACTCTGTTCTATGCAGTCAGTTCAATAGATATTTCATATGCTGAATATTAAAAAATTTTAGTCTTTCTTCTTCTTCTTCTTCAGCATTTCAAGCCCTTGAGGTTCATTGCTGCAGATATCACCCGCCTCCATTCATCTCTCTGGTTGGCCTTCTCTTTCCAGTAGTTAGTGACGGACACGGGGTGTTCTGTCTAAATATTATCTCTCCGTCTTTTTCTTGGTCTGCTTGGTCTACGGCAATTGAACTCCCTATTGTATAAAATATTTACCTCTCTTGCATGTGACATTTTCTCGGTATGCCCCAGCCATTTTAGTTTAGTCTCTTAAAAACTGAAAAAATATTTAGCCAAGATGGGCGTTATTGACAAGCTGAGTAAAAAGGAACGATAAAATACAAAACAAATAAATGAGAAGTAAAAAAAAAAGCATGTGGATTGTAATTTGTTATGCAGTTCATGAAAGAACAGACTAAATAATGTAGTAATCTAACAAATTATGCCCTAGTACAGGCATGTGTGAACTGGTGGCCCGTGGGCTGGGTGCGGCCCTTCGCAAGGACACCTGTGGCCACCTCAATGAAACTATTCAGCAGTAATTTGTATTAAATGACTCCAGTTAGCTGTCGTCTGTGGTCCTCATGACAACACAGAAATGATCCTCGGAGGGCCCTCGTACCAACCGTTTCCAGAGATGACAAAGGAGGGAACGGGACCATTAAGGATATCCTCAGAGATATAGTGAATTAGAAAGACCACACAGAAGATAATCAATCAGGTGCAGGCTCCACAATGATCTCCAGCACACTGCCCCCCTCCCCCCCCCCCCATCTCTTTATTTTATCCTCCCACTTTTATCGCTGTCTGCCTCTTTCTTGCTTGCCTTCACCTTTACCCTCCAGTATTGTTTTTAATAGGAGATATCTTTTAATATAATAATAATAATAAATATTTAAATTATAAAATATTTCACTTATCTCTTGTCATTCCTCTTTTTTCCCACACCCCAACCCCTAAATGTGACCTATTTTGTTTGTTTGTTGTTATTGTTGGTATATCTCCGTCTCTGAGGACTTTTAATTCCTAACTCATTGTCCACCATTTCTGAGAAACCTAAAACCCCCACCCCCAGAGCTGTTTTCCTTTATGAGTTAGGTTTTTAACATAATGTTGTTGGACAGTGCCCAGTAGGACTGTATAAAAACTTTGGTACTGGCTGCAATTGCATAGTATGTAGACATGGTTGGTATGATTGTATTAACCCCCCCCCCCCCCTTTTCCCTCAAATATTAGATATTATTTAGGGTGAAGAAAATATATTTTAAAAAAATTAGGGGTTCACTGTTTTGTCATATAATGTCATTATGTTAAAGAGTTCCAATTCCAATAGTACCAATAACCATCTGATTGTGTATGCGTCTCATCCTTCCCCTGGGTATTATGCGTCGGCCGTAATGATCTATCTGCGCCTCCGCACTGTTTACCCAATCCCAAAGGGCCCTCGCAATATCTGTGGAGAGAGAAAGATAACCATATGGAATAAAACAGGGAGGAATAAACATGACCCTCCTAATTTTAAATGAAAAACACCAGTATGTGATTGCCGTTTTGAAAGATGTACATAGAAAGTGAAGAAATTGTATGCTATATGTTAGCTGAAAGATCACAATATGTTTATGTAAGCCATGAGGATACATTTTGTTGATGTGACTTCAGGCAAAGATTGTCTGTTAATATTTTCATTTGTAATATTACACTTGGTCTGTATATTATTTTGTTATTAAAGACCAAATGTGTAGTTAA